CGGCTGGGACATGTAGAGCACCCAGTCAAGTTTCTCTGCAGGAAGGCGTTCTTCATGTCCAGCTGCATCAGGTTGAGGTTGAGGACGGCGACGATGCTGAGGAAGATCCTCAGCGTGACGTAGCTGCCCACCGGCGCGAACGTCTCGTCGTAGTCGGCGCCTTACACCTGCGTGAAGCCCTTCACGACCAACCTCGCCTTCTCTCGCTCGACGGTGTCGTCAATGTGGTACTTCGTCGTCAACACCCACCGGTTCTTCATGATGTTCACTCCCGGCGGGCGTTCGACCAGCTCCCACGTGCCCATGTTGATGAGGCTGCAGATCTCCTCTTCCATGGCGGCCTTCACCGCCGGGCCCTTCCAGCTTGCCAACGCCTCCTTCACCGTCATCGTCGAGATGTCCCAACGGTGCTCGGGGTCGGCCAGCATGTCGGGGTCGAGCTCCGGAAACTTCTCATCCTCCTCCGCGTCCTCGTACAGCAGGTCGTCAGCATCACCGTCCACGTCGTACACCGTGGTGAAGGCAGCGGGGACGAAGAAGTCAGGCGGCCTCCGGAGTCGGCCTGTACGCCGTGGTACCGGTTGGACCTCCTCAGCGTCCCCTCCATAGTCGTCGTCGTCACTGTCCTCGGCATCCTGCTGCCCCTCCTCGGCGTCCTGCTGCACCTCAGTCGGCGTCCCAGCCGACTGCTCCCCTACGGTCAGCTCCCTTGCCGACTGCCCGGTCGCCGACTGTTCCTTGGATGGCGTCGCTGCTACCTGCTCCCTTGTCAGCTGCTGCTCTGCAGGAGCCTCCTTCACCGGCTTCACCAAAGTCGGCGGCACCACCTGCTGCCTCCTGGTCGCCGTCAACTTTGCTCCCACACCGACTGGCACATCATCACGTCGGCCATCGGCGATGCTTGGGGCCGGCGCCACAGGTGACGCCCCACTTCTCCCCTCATCGCCGGAGGCCAACGTCGGAGTCAGCCCATGCAAGTCGGCAACAAGGGGAGGGGCAGGGGAAGGGCAGGGAGTGGGGACGTCCTCGGCGTTCTCACCAGCAAGCTCGCCGACCTTGGCGAGCAGAGGCAGCGTCGCCGTCGAGGTGTCCGTTGGCGGGTGAACCGGCATTCGCCCGGACGCCGGCCCGTGCGCCGACTTCCACACTTCCAGCGACATGCTCTCGTAGAACACCACGTCTGACGTGGCGACCACCCGGTTGTCGGCGATGTCGAGGAGCTCCCAGCCCTTGCTCTCCTCCGACACGCCGAGATGGAGGCCCCACCGGGCCTTCGGCTGCAGCTTCCCACCACGCTGCTGCTCGGGAACCAAGAACTGCGCCATGCAGCCCCACACCCGCACCAGCGACAAATCGGGCTTCTTCCCGGTGAGCAGCTGGTACGGCGTCGTCCCCGGCGGCAGCGCCGATCGCTCGAGGCAGTTGCGGACCCAGACGGCCTGCCGCAGAGCGAGGTGCCACCAGTGGTGCTGCACGCCCATGTGCAGCAGCATCGTGCGCATAGACTCCACCACCGTCCTCATCTCCCGCTCTGCCATGCCGTTCTGCTGCGGGGTGTACGGGCAGGTCAGGTCGTGGACTATCCCGTAGCCGTTCACGAAGTCGGTGAACTGCTTCCCGAGGAACTCCCCTCCTCGGTCGGGGAAGGTGTGTCGCGCCAGCTTCCCGCCGACGCACGAAACACACGGTGAGTCGGCGCCGGACGCCGACTTGGGGTCCAGCCCGGTGGCGACCTCGTGCTTCGCCGAGCTCCGGATAGTGTCCATGCTGACGTGCGCAAGCCTTGCGTGCATCCTGTCCGGCGTTGCCTTCGTCGCCGAGACGATCGCCCGCAGGGCCACCACCTCCGTGGAGGGTGTCGTCGGCGTGGCCGGGCAGGGACGCAGGTCAATGCAGAGTACACGTCCGGTGTACGTTGCCCGGCCGAGCACCTCTCCCGCTGCCAAGACGAGCATCATATAGTCGCCGTCCTCCTGCAGCTTCACGCCGTTCTCCTTCAGCTGGCCGGCTGAAAGCAGGTTGGCACGCACGCCCGGGACGTAGAGCACGTCGGGGATGAGCACATGCTTCCCGGCCTCTCCTTGCAGAGCGACAGTGCCGCGGCCCTGAACGTCTTGAAGCGCCCCATTGAAGCCGCGCACGTGCTTCATGTCGCCGCTCGGCCCCAAGCCGACGAAGGCCTCCTTCGTCCCCATCAGGTGGTGCGAGCATCCGCTGTCAAGCAGGACCACCGCCGGGTTCGCCTGCACAGCTGCTGCCACCGCTTGGAAGTCCTCACCGGCCTCCGGCCCCAGCGAGACGGTCGGCTCCACGACGCCGCCTTGTCGTCTCGCCCCTTGCCGCCAGCAGAGGAGTCGGCGTCCTTTGCCGAGGTCGACATGTTCGACTGCTTCTCCTTGCGCGTCTGGTTTCCTCGACGTGAACGACGGCTGGCCGACCTCCCGCGGCCTCCCTTGGCGTCGTCGTCGTCGGTATCGCTGCGATCGGGGCATTCAAAGGAGAGATGGTCGGGGCTGTGGCAGATCCAGCACTCTCGACGCCGACTACCTCCTCCCCGACCGCCACCCGTGGCCGACTTCTGCTTGTCGGCGTCCTTCGCCGGCTTCCACCCGCTGCTACCACCGCCGTCGGGCTGCCCACGCTGCCCCGGTCGGCCACCATGCTTTACCGGGGCAACGAAGTTTGCCTGCGCCAAGAGCTCTTGGGACCGCTCAGCCTCCTGCATTGCCTCGTCCTGCAGGATGTACGAGGTCAGGTTGTCCTCGTTGAGCGTCGCCCTCGTGCTCGGCGCCATAGACAGCCGCTTCAGGAGGTTGTAGCTGCTCGAGAGTCCCTGCATCACGTGGGTGACGTACGACGCCGTCGAGTACTGCGCACCGGCCATCCTGATAATGGCGAGAATTCGCCGAGCTCGGTTACAGTAGTCAGTCGCCGTCTCCTCGTCGCCCATACGCAGGTGCGTCAACTGTCCCTCCAGCTGGGCGATGAACAAGTCGTCGGTGACTTGGTAGGTCGACTCGATAAAGCTCCACGCCCGGTGGCCGGCGTCGAGGTACTCCCGGCACCACTTCAAGGCGATCTGCACGCCCGGCGAGCAGCACCGCGAGATGACCGTGAAGGTCAACAACTGCACGGCGCGAAACTCCGCACGCAGGTCGGGGTGGTGCTCCCCCGGCGTCGCCAAGGTCCCTCGGGTGAAGCCGATCAGCCCGGCCATCTCCAGCTGGGGCTCGATGGCTTCCTTCCAGGTGAGGATGTCCTGTCGACCAACGAGCGGCGGGGTGACCGAGATCCTGTCCGGCGTAAACTTGAAGTAGCCGTAGCTCGGTGCAATCCCGCCCGCCGTCACCTGGGTCGCCGACATCGGCGACACTCCACTTCGACGCCCACCGACGTCGCCCTGCAAGGAGCCTGCAGCCGTCGACGACTGCATCCCTCCCGCCTGAACGCCGCCGGCTTCACCAGCGTGTATCACACCTCGCTGCCTCGACGTGCCTCGCGCACTGCTGCCGACCTGGCCTCCACCGGCGCTGACGCCCACGTCGACGCCGCCATCTTTGTTCACCGGTCGAGGAGAGGCAGGCCAAGAAGGGGGGTACTCCGCCGCCCACATGGAGCGGAGTCCTGCCTCGATGACTGCCCAGGGTATCGCCCCGTACTCCTGGGCCTCATGGCGTCTCCTCGCATCCTCCACCTGTGCCTTCAGGGTGTCCATCACCTCGGCGTCACCTACGCGCACGCTAGTGACTGCACGGCTGCCGGCCTACGAACACGGTCGGTGCAAAGTCGGCTAGACTGAACTTCGTTGCGGTGTCGTCCACGCTCACCGCACCATGCGGAGATAACTAGTGCAACGGGAGCTAGACTACGGGCTAGGCACGGGTGCTCATGTGATCTCTGCGTTCCTTAGTCGTTTGCTTGTGTGTTCTCTACGTGAACATTCACGGGGAGATTTTGCAAGAGTTTCACTAGCAAAGATTAACAACAATGGTAGCAACAATATTGGCATCACAGACTACATCAGAGCTAGCTAGGCTGCTGGTCGACCTCCAGCGCAGCATGGTCGACCGCGCTCCAGCGCAGCAGCACTCGCACCGCTCCAGCGTTGCAGAGTAGCGGTTCGCCAACGTTGCAAGTCCACGGTGTGCCAACGCTGCAGCAAGTCGGCTGCAAAGCGTTGCACCCGCAGGACAACGGTGCACCTGCTTCGCAGATGCGTGCAGCTGGTTGGTGCGCCACTCCTCATCACGTGCATAGCGCAGACGCCTGGCAGACTCCATGCCAGCGACTGCGCCCACCAGCCACGTCGACCTCGGGATACCACCCCCCAGGTCGGCCTCGCAGACTCCACCCCGGCGACATTCGCGCACGTCGCCCGGGTATCCCGGTCGACCGGGCAACTACGCCCGGTCAACCAGCACAGTCCGTAGCCGGCCACCAATGCCCAGCGTCCCCAGTCCGGTGTCCAGACGCCCAAGACGCCGTGCAGACCTCCAGGGCAGCGTCCGGCCTCCCAGGACGCCGACCAGACGCCCAGGTCGGTGTCAGGGCCCCCAGGACGCCCAGGTCGGCGTCTGAGCCCCCAGGACGCCGTGCAGACGCCCAGGGCGGCGTCCCAGGCTCCTGGGACGCCGTGTAGACGCCTAGGTCGGCGTCTGGCCTTCCAGGACGCCATGCAGGCGCCCACGACGCCGACCAGGCTCCCGGGTAGTCGTGCCGACGCCCAGGTCGGCGTACAGCTTCCCAGGACGCCGTCCAAGCGTCCAAGACGCCAACCAGGCGTCCAGGATGGCGTCCTCCTGCTCGGCGCCCTCCAGCTCAGCGCCCTTGCAGTGGCCCCCGTGCCCACTGCTAACCCCCGCACATCCGACCACGAGGTCAGCTCCGCCCAAGCGAGGATGGGGCCAAACAACACTCCCGTTGAAAGGGAGGGGCCGAGTGCGGGCCGGGGGGAGAGAGGTTCGAAGAGATTCACAACGTATTCACGAAATGACCAGGGGCTAAAGTGCATCGTTACCTTGTGACCGTTCACGCCTTGCGGGTGCTGCCATTTCATTCTGATGCGACGTGGGTGTCGCCTTATCCGTCTGGCGAACCTCCGCTGCGCGCAACTCCACTGAGCGCAACTCCGCTGCCCGCGCCTCTGCTGCGCGCACCTCCGATGCGCGAAGCTCCGCGGCGCGAAGCTCCGCTGCGCGAACCTCCGCTTCGCGCAACTCTGCATCAGTTCCCGCTTGAGCACCGACAGCATCATCCGCATCGTCGTCGTTGAGCTCGTCGTCGTTGAGCTCGTCGTCATCGCTACCAGCCTCAATGCCGAAATCGCCGAACGAAATCGCCCCTCCCTCCTCAGCGGCCTCCATGACTGCTGTCATCATCGGACCCGGAGCGTACACCCTGGCGGCAGAGGCGGGTGCAGGGAGAGCTTGGGTAGCGGCCTCACGTGCACTGCAGACTACGCCGCCAGCGAGAGGAGGGGCCTCACGAGCACTGCAGCCTACACCGCCAGCGAGAGGAGCGGCCTCACGTGCACTGCAGCCTACGCTGCCAGCGAGAGGAGCGGCCTCACGTGCACTGCAGCCTACGCCGCCAGCGAGAGGAGCGGCCTCACGTGCACTGCAGCCTACACCGCCAGCGAGAGGAGCGGCTTCGAGTGCGCTGCAGGCGACGCCGCCAGCGGCGTTATTGAGATCCTCAGATGCGAGAGCCGGTGTAGGCGAGACCTCGATGCCAGTATCGGCAGGGGAGGGTTCGCCGGTGGAATCAGGGGCAGCGGAGGTTGCGCCAGCGGGAATTTCGCCATTCGAAGAGTTAGCACGACCGCGCCCTGCTCCGCCACGTTTGCTCTCCCGGCCTCCCCGACGGACTGGAGGCGCTGCCTGAGCAGCTTGCTGAGCACCGTGCATGGTGTTGACAGCTCCTTTCTTGCTTGCAGCCTCCTTAGCTAGCAGTTTACGCCTCTTGAACTCCTACGCAAGAACATCATCGTCGAGCTGAGATAGAGCTGAGGGATCTAGAAGATTGAAATTGGAAAGAGGGTGAGGTAAGGTGACCCCAACTGAATCGGCTGTAACTCTTTTGCTGTTGCCTGCCCAAGAGAAGTTTCCCGCGCTTGCTGCCATTCTGATGTGGAGATCGATGGTTCACGATGACTTTAGAGTACCGCTTTGAGTAATTGTGGTAAAGCACACAATTTTTGAAATATATCTAGCATGGAAGGGGCTTCCATGCTTTGCCTACTGTGATTGGTTCCGTACGAGCAAAACCTTCTTATCCCACCTTCCCAAAGTAATATACTTAACAAAAAATCGATGTTGGCGGAAACGACTGTTAGAATCTAGAGACAGGAATGAATCAACTATGAAAGAGTTGGGTACAAGTATGAAACCCTAAAAGGGGCTGTACCCCATATTGGCTACCCCACTACAGCCTACACATATATAACATACATATACTTTGACATAAACATATATAGCATATATATAATTTGACACACCCCCATAGGCAAAGTGGGGGAGAGCAAGGGGTCACAAGACCAGTCAAGAGAAGCAAAGCAAGCTCAGGTGGATCACAACATCACCACATACACTGAGCACAAGCAAAGGGCCACAAGGTCAGTTCACATGCAGAGGTATATATGCAACAACAACAGCACAGTGATCTCTACCCAGTAGAGCAAGCTTGCAGGTATATATAGATCACGGTACAAGCAAAGTCTACACAAAGTGAGGAAACGTGGGCACAAGGCCTAACAAAGTACAAAAACGCTGATGATCACCAGACGGAAGTGCCTTGGTGAATATATCAGCAGTGTTGGCCCGAGTGGCCACGTGAACAAGACGAAGCTGACCACGCTGCTGCAACTCTCGAGCAAGGAAGTAACGCAGAGCGATGTGCTTCGTTCTGTGCTCCAGTCTGTGCTCCTGACACAAGGCAATGGCGGCCTTGTTGTCTACGTACAGCACTGGAGGAGAACGAGGCCGCTCTCCCAGGTCGGTCAGCAGGTAGGTGAGCCAGCGGAGCTCCTGTGCAGCCATGGCTGTGGCGTAGATCTCAGCCTCGCAACTGGAGCCGAGAACAGAGGACAAGCGTGTAGACCGCCAAGAAACAGAGCCAGAGCCAAGGCTGAAGGTGTAACCCTGTGACAACCGCTGCGTAGCCAGGTCGTCAACCCAAGAAGCGTCCGAGTGCCCAGTGAGGACAACGTTGACCTGTCCTACAAGCACAAGCCTCATGCCCGATGTACTGCACAAGTAGCGCAGTACCCTCTTAGCAGCATCCATGTGCACCTTTCGGTGCCTACCAGGAGCCACATAGCGAGCCAGAAGGCCAAGAGGGTACGCAAGGTCAAGACGAGTGCAGGTCATCAGGTACATGAGGCAGCCCACTAGCTCTGGGTAAGAACCACTCGGCTCTACGGACTCGTCCGAAGGTGGAGCTGAGAGCGAGTGACATGTAGCCAGAGGAGTGTGCTGTGGCGAGGACTAGGTGAAGCCGAAGCGCTGAAGGACCTGCTGCACCATGTGTGACTGAGTCAGTGTGATGGTGTGGCGTGCTCTGTCCCGGGTGATCTGCAAGCCAAGGTAACTGCGCAGCTCACCCAGGTCTGTGCACGTGTGTCTCTTCTGCAGCTCCGACTTCACCAGGGCGAGAGCCTCAGTGTCAGCAGTGGCAAAGACCAAGTCGTCGACGTACACGAGGATGTAGAATGGCGGCAGGGAAGTGTCGGTGCGCAGAAACAGCGACGGGTCAGCAGTCGACGGAGCAAACCCAAGAGCAGCAAGTATCGTCCTCAGTGTGTCGTGCCACTCACGTGGCGCCTGGCGGAGACCGTAGACCAGCCGCCGGAGGCTCCACTGGGTACCAGGAGGGAACGACCCAGTGAAGCCAGGAGAGCGGCGCAGCCAGATCTCGTCGTGCAGGCTGCCCTGTAAGAAAGCAATGCTAAAGTCAAGAGAGTGAAGCTCGTAGTCACGCTGAGCGGCAACGTGCAACAGCACCCGAAGAGTGGTCATCTTCGGGGTGGGAGAGAAGGTCTGGAAGAAGTCAACTCCCTCTCGCTGACGGAAACCTCGAGCAACGTAACGAGCCTTGAAGACAGACGGAGAACCTGGCGGCCGCTTCACCCTAAAAATCCACATGCCATCCACAATGTTCGCCCCAGGAGGGGGAACCTCATCAACGTAAGTGCCTGTGGACTTCCAGGATGCCATCTCTGCATCCATGGCTGTCTGCCACTGAGAGGTGTTAGAATCTAGAATAGAACGAGAATGATGAAACTAGGAATGATGGGGATACAAGTAGGCAACCATAGCAAAGTTGTACCCCCTAAGGCTAAACCCACTATAGCCTACACAATATAAACATATAATGTTTGACACACCCTCATAGGCTAAGTGGGAGACAACCAGATGGTCACAAGACCAGTCAAAGCAAGGCAAAGCAAGCTCAGGGTGGATCTCAGGGAAACCACACAAATTCTGAGCACAAGCAAGTGGTCACAAGACCAGTTCACATGCAGGTTGATAATATAACAAGAGATACAGTGATCGCAACCTAGCAAGAGCAGGTATGCAGGTATATATATAGAGATCACAGTACAAGCAGAGTCAAGAAGTAAGCAAGTGAGGACCAGTAGGCACAAGGCCTAGAACAGTACAGAAGCACTGATGGTCACAAGGCTGAAGCGCCTTGGTGAACACATCAGCAGTGTTGGCCCGAGTGGCCACGTAACGCAGACGAAGCTGACCGCGCTGCTGCAGCTCTCGAGCAAGGAAGTAGCGCAGAGCGATATGCTTCGTTCTGTGCTCCAGTCTGTGCTCCTCACACAAGGCAATGGCAGCCTTGTTGTCGACGTACAGCACTGGAGGAGAACGAGGCCGCTCTCCCAAGTCGGTCAGCAGGTAGGTGAGCCAGCGTAACTCCTGTGCAGCCATGGCTGTGGCGTAGATCTCAGCCTCACAACTGGAGCTGAGAACAGAAGACGAGCGTGTAGAACGCCAAGAAACTGAACCAGAGCCAAGGCTGAAGGTGTAACCCTGAGACGACCGCTGAGTAGCCTGGTCGTAGTGTAGAACGGCGGCAGCGAAGTGTCGGTGCGTAGAAACAGCGACGGGCCAGCAGTAGAAGGAGCAAACCCAAGAGCCGCAAGTGTAGTCCTCAGTGTGTCGTGCCACTCACGCGGCGCCTGGCGGAGACTGTAGACTGGCCGCCGGAGGCTCCACTGGGTACCAGGAGGGAACGATCCAGTAAAGCCCGGTGGGCGGCGCAGCCAGATCTCCTCGTGCAGGCTGCCCTGTTGGAAAGCAGTGCTGAAGTCAAGAGAGTGGAGCTCGTAGTCACGCTGAGCGGCGACGTGCAGCAGAACCCGAAGAGTGGTCATCTTCGGGGTCGGGGAGAAGGTCTGGAAGAAGTCAACTCCCTCTCGCTGACTAAAGCCTCGTGCAACGTAACGCGCCTTGAAGACAGGCGGAGAACCCGGCGGCCGCTTCACCCTGAAAATCCACATGCCACTGACGATGTTCGCCCCAGGTGGGGGAACCTCGTCGACGTAGGTGCCTGTGGACTTCCAGGAAGCCATCTCTGCGTCCATGGCTGTCTGCCACTGAGAGGAGTACTCACCCGCGATCGCCTCAGCGTAAGAGCGCGGGGTCGGGATGTCTGGAGCATCCGGGTCTCCCTCAGGGGCAACCAGCATGGACACGAGATGAGGTAAAGCAGCGGCAAAGCACTCAAACTCCTCCTGCCTGTCCTCAAGGACGTCCGTGCCAAGAGCACACTCACCCCCGACGGACGGAGGACAGACAGACGCAGACTCAGACTCAGCGACAAGGCTAGCGGCGTAGTCGAGACGACAAGCGGCAGCAAAGTCAACTAACTCAGCGACTAGAGCAGACGCAGCAGAGGACTCAAAGGAAGGGTCAGTGACAACAGTGGCGAGGAGACGCGTGACAGTAGGACTGGCAGCACGAAGGGAGTCAGACTCCGGGTCAGCAAGAGCAGGAAGAGAGGACGCAGGAGGAGACGGCAGGGGGACGCGCTGAGGAGCAGAGGAAGGACGAAGCGCCATCTGGTGAGTGCCTGGGACAGCAGGAGGACGCTGACGAGGGACACGACGACCAGTGTGAGCAGCACGAACAGGCGACGCAGGACGAGACTCAGGCTCACGACGCTCTGTAAGACCTCCAGTCGGACCAGTGTAAGGAGAAGGACCAGGGAGCGGTAAGGCAGGAGGTAACTGTGACTGCGACTGGACTGGCGGAAGACACTCTACGGAGGGAGCAGGACAGGGAGGAGGCGACTGACCCAGAACCTGCTGAAGGAGTGGAACGAAGTACGGCTGCGGCCGCGTAGCGCCGCCAGAACCAGCGGAGAGACCACCAGGAGGCTCAGCTCCAGGGTCGCCCGCAGGACCACCAGTAGCTCCAGCAGCGCCAGCACCTCCAGCACCAGCAGCAGCTCCAACTCCAGGGTCCGCAGCACCAGCAGCAGCTCCAACGCCCGGGTCCGCAGCACCAGCAGCAGCTCCAACGCCAGGGTCCGCAGCACCGGCAGCACCTCCAGTAGTAGCAGCACCTCCAGCAGCTCCAGCAGCCCCAGCAGCACCACCAGCAGCGTCAGCAGCACCAGCAGCACCTCCAGTAGTAGCAGCACCTCCAGCAGCTCCAGCACCAGCAGTACCTCCAGCAGCGCCAGCAGCACCGCCAGCAGTAGCACCTCCAGCAGCTCCAGCACCAGCAGCACCTCCAGTAGCGCCAGCAGCACCGCCAGCAGCAGCTCCAGCACCAGCAGTACCTCCAGCAGCGCCAGCAGCACCGCCAGCAGCAGCACCTCCAGAAGCTCCAGCACCAGCAGTACCTCCAGCAGCGCCAGCAGCACCGCCAGCAGCAGCACCTCCAGCAGCTCCAGCACCAGCAGCACCTCCAGTAGCGCCAGCAGCACCTCCAGCACCAGGGTCCGCGACACTAGGAGCGCCACTCCGGAGACTGCAGCGCCGAGCGTACCACTCTCGGAGCCGCTGGGGAGAGGGCAGCTCCCGCCTAGGAGGGGAAGCACTGGCACCAGCTCCAGGAGCACTCCTAGCTCCAGAAGCACCTCTCCTAAGGCTGCAGTACTGTAAGTA